CAATGTTCAAATTATCTTAGATAGAAATTCATAATAGTTTTTCTTTTTAATTCTAAGATTTGAGAATTTAATACAAGGCTCATAATATATTTTTACAATAGCAGTTGAAAAATARAAGAAATATAWAGSCAMAWTTTTTTTTTACATGCATTCAAATTTTAATTTTGACAACATACGTAAAAATCACGAAAATTCGTAAATTGTTTTAAGCTAGATATTCATAAAAAATTTTCTTTTTAAATTTAAGATTTGAAAATTTTTAATAATCTATAATATATCTTAAACAGATAAACCGTCTCCGTTCAGAATCGTTTTTCGTATACAATGATACCTATCATTGCATTCAAATTTAATCTACCCTAGTCAAAGGTCCACCCCACCACCAATGTACAGCAGAGCGATACCMACTTACTTCGCTTCTTTTTTTAAATTGCTTATTTATAATTGTAGAAAAGCTGCAAAGCCCATAAATTATTTTTTGGGAGCCCCTTTTTTCGGGGGCCCTGCGCTATAGCCCGATTATTCCCTCCCTTAATACGGTACTGAGGTAGAATACTGTATGAGGCTTACAAATTTTGTTAAAAACATATACCCCCCCCCAACCAAATTCCTTAGTACGCCAACGCTTTGCACCCGAATCATTTATTCGTATTTCGGGGAACTGGATCTATTCGGGTGTTCTAAAACCGGAATAAAAAATTTAAACAAATGTTAGGGTTTTGATAATCATTATTATTATGGTTAAAATTGGTTAATACGGGTGTGGAGTAGTCTAGAAAAGATACAATTATTTAATTTTTTTCGAAGGCTAAAACCTCATCAAAAATTGTCAAGCCAAAAAAAAATTTTAAGAAACTAATTTATGTTTTCATAATTTATTAAATATAGGTAAATTATGATTTCGCAATTTCCTGAAAACTGGTAAATATAACCGATATGACGATATTACGATATTTATTACTAAATTGTAATAATACCGGTTAGGAAGTTGGATGTCAATTAATAGTAAGAATTAATATAAATATCATAGGTATTCGTATTATTACATATTATTATTTGTAGAGGTCAGATTTATATTCTCTTAAAATATGATGTTTTTATGTCGCATAAATTAAGCAATATATTCCCTTATTATTCTTTTAAAATACCAGATATATGATGTTTTATGTCTTTAAATATGCAAAATATTCTTTTAATATTAAAAAAAAATTCAGTTTAAATTTATTTTAGCTAACGAAATAACCTACGTGCTATCGCAATCGATAAGGAATACCTGGAGATTAATTTTTATTAAAACCCAGAAATTAATTATTTATAAACAGAATTATTTAGTGAACATTATACCCATCAAAGTGCTGATATACGTGAAATTTATTCAATATAATATGCCGATATTACAAAAATATTCTCAAATATTCTCTAACCCATAAAATATGCTTTTTTATGCAAAATAAATTTTTTCCTATGAATTCTGTGTTTCATGAATCGTAAAGATTTCTCACTCCCATTTAACTAAATAGATTAGAAACAAATATGTAAAATCATAAAACCCTACCTCTAAATTTATTTGGTTAGGTACGAGTTACGACTGTAAAATAAATACGTTTTTATGTTCTGTTGAGACCACGTCTATATTATATAATTTATATTGCGATTATTAGCTATATCTATATTTGGATTTATTTTATATAGGTGTATTTTATTATATTTTTTTTTCTGATAATACCTATTACCTACCCATGTTGTAATTGAACGTTGGAATGTTCGATATTATTAAAACGATAATATGGTATCTATTATCGATACCCGCATATTTTCTTCCTTGAAAATCTTACACAGCCTTCAAGGTCGCCACACACTGCAGCGGTGGCGGTAAAATAATTGTGTCCCGCTTCATTTTGCCACCACCGCCTCCGCCACCACCACCGCTACCGCTGCAATGTGTGGCGACCGTGGCAGAAACTACGATTTATTTTTAGAAAAGTAAATAATTTATTGTAGCTTGTCAACGGTTTTACACGATCTTTTCGAAATCGGCTACAATAGATTACAGATAACGATTAACGTCAACTTTACTCGACTCCAAGACTAAGTTAATTATTACTATATAATATTATATCTWGTTATTATTATTTACATTAGTAGACATTGTGACGTGACTCGTATTTCAGTGCTCAGTTGTAGTCAGTACTTATTCAGTACTTCAGTGATCGTTTGTTAGCTGGTAGATGCTTGATACTTTTCTAGTTAATATTTAACGGAAATTTCCATCCATACCTTTTTTGTTCGGACGGACGCATGTATCCGTACACAATCCGTACACACCTCTCGTTCTATCACCAATCGCCTGCAGTTGAGAAGAAAGTATTGATTCTTTACAAACTCGTAGTCTAACGTCTATTTCAGCTGTACCCGAGGTGAGTTTATTTTATATTCATCAAAAAACTTTATCAGTTGAAACATACATGTTGCATTACAATTAGGCAAGGCGTAGATAGGTACCTAAATGTTTTTTTCCTGGAGACCTAAGTATTTCAATGAGTGTATAACAATGATGCAGTCAGACTTAGTTTCAAAGTATGTGTTAGTTTACCCATTTTTTATTCATTACTTTTTAAAAATAACATAAAAAGTAAATATGATAAGTAATTTCTAATTCCACCTGATGGATCAGCATGCAAAAACGCACAGTTAGAATAAAAAAATTTCAAAAAATTGCTCGGAAGCTAAACTTTATTCTTTCCTCTACATCCTACATATTATAATATTATATTGTTCATTATTACTTTGCTCAACTTTTTGAAATTCAATTACATTTATTTCATTTTGATAATTTGTTTTACGAATCACGATTATTTACAATCTAATAGAACAGGTACTGCAAATTTAACTTACGTTTTATAGAATATGTTATTTAGTACTTTAGTTGGTTGGTATGTATGCAAAATTTTATTGAAATAGTGTAAATTATAATAGTTAGTGATGAACTTATCCTTAGTAGCAAGTAGCATACCTTTATAATGTTAGGTTTAATATTTACCAAAATATCTTCTACCTACTGATACCTACTATTTTATTTTAACTTTCAGAATTGTCCGTAATATTATTTGATTTTGTGTAATGGCAAACAATACGTGGAATTCATGGGTCTCCTTTATCCAAAAGGAGGGTACATGGGTAATATATAAATATTTACTATAATTTTTTTTTGTTTTCTTTTAAAAAAATACTGGGTCTCTGTGTGAAGCACCAAGGTATTAAACATTGTTACATACATAGGTATCATTGAAGAATTAGGTGAGTATGCAAATTTATAATAAACAAAAGTTAAGAGAAAAAGGACAATTGTGTAAAGATAAAATGTTTTATTATTTTTTTTTAATCATGAATAGGTAGGTCATAATAAATTAAGTAAAACATTTAGCATTATTTTTAATAAATTTGTTTCATTAAATTGATAATATTTTCATGTAACTAGGTACTTAGTCAATGCTCGGATACCTACATGACATCATAAACATTATCTAGGTCCATTTTAGGTCTACCTTACTTAKCCTTTTTATGATGTTTTAATTTTGTTACCTATTATTTTGAATTACATTTTTTTCTTATTATATCTAAGAACTGAAAATTGAATTAAAGATTCTTCAAAAGCTCTCCTACATTCGTTAAATTAAAAAAAWTTCAACCGGACAAATTAAATTTTTACTAACATTTTCACAACATTGGATATTTACTCAATTTCTCATAGAGTGATTTTCTGATTTTGTTTTATCTCTAAAACGAATGACTGTAGATACTTGAAATTTACACAAAATKTTTGTTTTAAGCTGTTTACTGTTATTTTTTGTTATTTTTTCTGTAAATGTCTATAAAATTTTATTTGTTTGTTCAACAAGCTTGAAAATGTATTACAAGGTTTCTTATATTTTGTTACAACAGTAGTTATTTAAAAATATTTAAAATATGTAAGCATAATTTTTTTTATGAKCATTTTAAGTTCAGATTTCAATAAAATTTATTAAATTCAAAATTTACTAATTATTTTGTAATTGAATATTTATAAAATGCTATAATTTTATAGCTAAGGATTAAAATTTTTAAACCAGTATGTATTTAATTCTGTAACCAAACAAATTAAAAATATTTATTAACACTTTTTTATGTTCAAATTTGGACAAAATTACATGTTTAAACMAAGAAAAACAAATTTAGTTATTTTTTTTGTAATTTAAAAATATTATTTGTCGGTACTTACAACTTTTAAAGTAGGTATACTTGAAATTACATTTAAAAATACAATTTTTCAACAAAAATTAATTTAACCTACTATAGTAAATGTTTATAATACAGTAAAATACATTACATTAATCACAATAATATTATAAAATATACCTTCTTGGTAGTATAATAAACTGACCGACTATCTCTRTTCTGAATCATTTTATATCATTAAATTCAAATTTAATACATCCATTTAGGTGACTCTCTAAAAGTCTAAACACCAAATGTACAGCAAAGCGTTACCCATTTACCTGCTTTTTGACTTTTGTAATACTGCATTTACTCAAATTACATAAGTATATTAACACAGTTAATGTTGTTTTAAAATTAAAYTGTTAGTCATTCAACTAATAAAATATTAAATAACCATGTACAAATGTGATATATTAAGTTGAATATAATAGTATAATGTTCTCATAAGTTAGGATAGTATATCCTAAATTTCTAAGTATAGGCACATGAGTGTAAAAAATGTCCAAAGTGTGAATTTTCAACTTGAGTATTTCAATAATGATTATTTTACTTTATTCGATTTTAATTGTAGTATTTACCAGTATTTAATGGTTGGATATAAAAATTACATTTAATACTGTGTTCTAAATATTAGAAGTATTCAAATATTTCCAACATTAAGTATTTTTAATAATTTTTATTCGTATTAATATAAATTTTATCAAGTGTTTTCATTTATTTTGGATTTTATTTTTCTCCATTTTTTTTTTTTTAATTTGATTTACCTTATATTAAAATTAAATTTATAATGTTTGATTATCTCTAAAAAAAAAATTATATTATTGTAAAATAAAATTATTTTAAAATATAATAAATCAACTATTTAAAATGTTGGCACTGGCATATGGTTATATTTTGTCTATTAGTAGTGTTAGTTAACTTGTCAATTTTCAGCAATATTGTAATAATTGTGAAGTCATTTAAAATGGTTAAAAATATTTTCATTTAAAATGAACTAAATGGTTTATAATTAAAAATGTGAATAGCATGTATACCTAAAGAATCTTTTCTCAAACATTTAAATGGTAAATCCTTTTCAAAAAAATATCATTTTACAGTGGTCAAATCTAGTTAAAAAATCTTATATTTTTATCTTTTTTATTTAATTATACTTCGAAAAGCTATTATAGGTCAGGCTGGTATATTGCTATTTGGAGTTAGGACATATTTTAGGATTTTGTAGCCTGCGACCAGAGATAAACTTTTTGGGCAGTTATGTGTTCAATGTTCGTCATACATCCCTTTCCCTAACTTTATAAATTTTAAAGATCACTTTAAAATTCCACGAGCATTAGAAGTTTTACTTATGCCACTAATTTTATATTGAGTAATTTTTGCTACATATTAAAAACTATTAGTTGTACTTTCCCAATTTGTCAACTGACATATTATTTATGTTATTGATGCTCAGTGTAGTGTTCTAAACAGTCATCAAATAATTTTAAATGTATTTGTGTGGCATATATACAATAATTATAAAATTCAATTGTATTCAAATAAAACAATTAATACAGTAGAACCTCGATTACCCAAACTAATTGAGACCGCACCTGGTTC